AGATGCCATATTCTGAATTTCAGATGATGAGAATGAGAACTTTTGGGATCGAAGCGCAGGCCCACTTCATCATTCACTGATGCACCCATTCAGCTTCCTTCTAATTTTTGCTTTTATTTTAAATAAAGGCAAGTCAGAAAGTCAATCTTCGGTGCCAAATGAGACAGGCCGGATTTGCAATTGTGCTCATGGTATACATGATTACTCTTCCTATAAATACGACGAGTTCATTTCGCTGTAGCTGGTCTTATTTAGGAAGGTGCGGATACCCATTCGCGTAGGTTGTCATTACATATGCACACATTGTTGCCCACCTGGTATCATATACTCCTGGGCTTAAAATCAATCTGCGTGGGAATTTCAATTGCGTTCATTGCATATCTAAGGCAGCCGATTTTCACGAAAAGCATTTAATAAATTTTATAAATTTTATGTGTGACGCCACGAACGAACGAACGAACGAAACCCTTCTCTTAGATCTAGAAAACAAGGTTTCCGCTTACAACTGCGGTAGTCACAAAAAGATGATGATCTCCTTCGGTTGCTTGTTTATTAATAGAACTTAAAGGTGTTAACTGTTTTATAATGGTCAACAATGCGTCCGTTGACGTCCGTACGGTGGGAACATTCTTCGTCTCCCAGAGCTAGCTGCCCGGGAAACGTGGGACCTCGGAGTTGAACCAAGCCATTGTTTCGATGAGGATTTGATTTTTGGGGGCACGGGCAGCCTGTGTGTTGCGAACCGATGGGGAGCTGGAGCTTGGACAGAGCCTGTCGATGAGCACTCAGCTGCGGTGGAAGTACTTAAATAGAAGGCTCACACTGCCTCCCCCATCGCGTCCCGCACCTCACCAGCGTCCCAGGACGACCTGGTTTTTCACGCCGCTGCGATAGATTGTGTGTTTCCAGGTGGTAGCTTGTGGTGCATAGGAAGCTTTTGGTCCGTCATCTTCTCGTTTGCTGAACTCTGGAGATGAGGGTCAGCACCATCAGTCATTTATAGCTTTTTCGGACTGCACTGGCTCCCCAATTTTATCTCCTTGTCGCTGGGTGCATGTTTCTGTGCGTTTGGGTATTGGTTGTGTGAGCTCACCAAGGACACACGTTGGGGTTAGATCACTTATCCACACATTGCGACGAATGCCTTCGAGGTATATACACTCGTGTAATCACTTCCCCCTCTCGTGCATGAGTTAGCATTGCCCGAAATGCTCAGGTTCGCGGTTCGGAGTAGCTAGTGGTAACAGTCTCTTCCAGTTTGCTGCTCTTTGATTGGGTTACACACTAGCAACCTACTATGGGTTCAGTCGCATTCCTGCTTCCGATATAAGCATGAACTAGGTGTCGGTGTCGTTGCCATTGACCAGTAGTGAGAGAGTCTAGCTTCATCTTAATATTTGCCAATGCAATTGCTATTAATGCCTTCTCCTGTCATTCCTGCTGCTGCTGCTGAAGAGCTAGTGCCAACCCGAGCTCAGCCGGAGAAATTGTAATGCTTAGTTAATCCACTCTTGGCTCTATGATGCACGAATTCCAGAAGCGTACATCTAGATCAGCTGGTGGCGTCGCCTCGAAGATCTTCTGCCGAAGCAGCAATTGTTGTCGTCATATATGGACTGTAGAAACACCTGAAGCGAGTGAGGACCATCCGATTCTAGCCATGGAAACAGATAAGAGCTCATGTCTGGGTTCCTGTTTCTGTGATGCTTTTGAGGTTTGCGCATGAGATAGCATCGGTTAGGCTTCAAACTCTTGAGGTGTTTCTACAGGCTACATATGATTGATAGCTTTGTCGATATCCAAGCTCTCGCCATTCTCGATTGCATGTCGACGGCAGCAACACGGATACAGTGAGAGTGTGTGTGTGTGTGTTGCATCCTCTGCATTGGTTGGTCTGATCCATTGTGTGGGCGGTTATGAATTTAATCTTGTGTGTTCATTCTAAGAGTTTCAAACTTGATGGACGTCATTTAAATTTATGTGTGTGTGCATGAAAGGCTTGTAGGTGTAGATGAATGTGTTCCAGAATGGTGAGAAAGTAAAGCATTGTGAGAGTAGTCATTTGATAGAACTGTGTATACATGTATACTTTTAATGACCAGTGATTGACGGTGGTGGAGATAGAAGTTGTACCTAGTAAAATAAATAAGGATGATGGACTGAGAATAAAAAGTTTATAGTAAAACAGAAATGAAATAACATAAAGATTAGAATATCATATTTAAATAAAATGGGAAAGATATATATATATATATATATATGTTTATTATTTTTCTGAAATAAAGGTTTGTTAAAATATCTTACGTTTTTGTTAACAAACACTGCTTCACGTGCTTGCAAAAACTTATCACCATAAATAAGTCAAATGGTCCATGTTTGTTTGCAAAACCATCATAATATGTTAAAAGTCAGTGACTATAATGGAAAAGAAGTTGTAGCTTAGAGCTTTATAAATTAAACTATTATTAATGTGAAATTTACACATAAAAAGACATTTATATCAACAAATGTAAAAAACTAAATTGGATCCAAATATTAGGTGGAGTAACAATTCTTGCTTAACTTTTAATTTTTTCTTTTCCTTGACTACCAAATTCTGCCATGTAACAACCAAGAAAAAAACTATATGTATATATATTATATTAATTTAATTATGTAAATTTTAAACCTATTTCACAATAAATAAGAATGATAAATAAATTTTAATACAATTTTTTTTTTTTTGCAAATAACATTTATTTACCAAACAAAAAACTGTTTCAGCTTAAATTAGAAATTGACATATCTTAAAAATTTATTTCATTGTTTATTTATCTATGTGTTATATTTTTATAAATTTTGATATATATATATATATAATATATTTAAAATAATTAAAATATTATATAAATTTAAAAATATTACCTCAAATTATTGGTAGATTTTTCTAATATAATTTGAATAATAATATTGTATTAAAAATAATTCTTACAATAGTCATGAATTCAAAATTTTCTATGTGTTTCAAAATCAAATAAAGGGCAAAAGAGTCAAAATTTCATGAAGAAAATTTGCATTTAGTGGTCCTTTGTGTTTTCAAATAGTTAATATAGATATGTATTAGTTTTTTTAATGCCAGCAATTTCGAAACTTTATACTTTTAGTGGTTGCATATATTTTCATTTATTTTTGGTATGACTAGCTAAAAGAAGAAGAATTTTACAAGCTCTTGATTTATCATTTAATATTTAAATAATTGAAAATTTAAAAAATCATTCAAGTTAAAAAGATTTAAAAAAAATATTTACTCTTGAATCTACTGAAATTTAAAGTTTTTTTTAAAAAAATTAAAATTATATTTGAAAATCTTGATGTAATTTAACTTACACTGAAGTTTTAGTACCAACTTAATATACTTAAATGAAAATAAATGCTGAAATATTATCTTTATAAATTTTGTTTATAATATCATCAATTCAACAATTAATATACAACTACTTATCAATATATGATTAATTATTCTGTAATTATTATTGTAGATATTTAAATCTAATTTAATATTTTATAATTTTTAATTATTTTGAATAGGCAATAAATTTATTTTGATTTTTGTAGTTTATCCAAGCAAATATAGTCTTTTAAAAATAAATATTTTGTGTTTTATTAAGTCAAAATTATTAGACAAGTTGTTAAAGTATTTATGTTATATTATAAATATTGATATTACTTTTATAATAGCAAATTTTAGAAACCAATCATGTAAATTGTAGGTTTGCTAGATGTAATATAGATAAGCAATAAACTTTTTATATTCTTGCATTCTTGAATTAAATTATAAATAATATACATCTTATTTTTTTTAAAGTGTGTGTAGAGTTTTGCATGTAATTTTTGTTAAAGATAAAATAAATTTAATTTATTGGAATTTATTTTTTTTCAAAATAAACATTTAAAATATTCAAGAGTAAAAATTTAATAATATCTTTTGTGCCTTTATATTTCTTGTATATTTATTTTTATTATTTTTTATTATCTTTGTGCATATTAATATATAAAAAATGGATGTAAGAAATAGAAGATAATTAAATGTTGCAATAGTTGTTATGTAATGCAATTAAATAAATATTTAATATAAAAATATAAATTATAAAAATATACTTTTATAATTAATAATGTGGTCCATCTGTATAATAAATTTAAAAAGTTTTTGTTAGATTATTTTGGCTATTTAAAAGAAGTTGCTAGGTACATATTATTTGGTCATTTATAAATTGAGTTCAGAATATATTAGTGATTTTTAAAAAGGTAACAAAAGTATTAATTATAATTGATAGGTAGTATTATTGTTTGATTGAAATAAAGTAGAGGTTTAATTGTGAGAATAGTCAAGCAACAAAATGTTATTGCTTTTATGTAAAATTATATAAAAAATCCACTCTTAAATTCAATCAAATTATCTAAATCTCTATGTTATTAATAAATTGATTACTAAAAAAAATAAAGATATTATTATTATTATTATTATTATTATTATTAGTCTTTAAGTTTTTAGCAATATTTAAAATAAAATTCCAATAAACTACACTTAAGTATTTAAGAATAAAAAATACATACACACACACACACATATATATATATCTATATCTATATATAGTATGTTATTCAATTAATTTATTAATATAAGCTTAATTCTAGATATTTGATATTACTAATACACTTGTTTGTTCCTATTAATTTATTTATTATGTCTTATTAGAAAAAAAAGAAAATCTCAATTTAAATATTTTTCATAAGATTAATATATATATATATATATATATGTCAAGAATCAATGTCGTATTTGTCAAAAATGAGTCAAAATTTTGTTTGTATCTAAATAAAATATAATATGTACACAACTTATAAATAGAATATAATCTATTAAATCTTTCTATGTAATTGTTCATCATCATAGGAAAACATCTTAAAATCAACAAAAGATTTCAAAGAAAACTAGTCTCCAAAGCCAAGCCAGTGCCCAAGAGCCATGAGGAAGGCCACATGACCCCCATTGTACCTCACACCATTCCATGTCAAACTTCCGACTTTTGCCAATTAGTTGTCTCAGCATCGCATTAGGTACCTGGAAATGCAAGGAAAGGTCCGACCTGGTGTACCAGGCAGCTTGTTGATAGGTCCCATGGTTTCTATGCTTGAATTGTTTCCATGAGGATTTGCGTTTCGCATGATGCCATGGAGAGGCTCTCGGCGATGAAGCAGGGGGTGGAATTAGTCTCATTTGAAATGTGGTGTTGCAGGCCATGGATGTGGAAGATCGGTTATTGTTGCTGTTGCCGGAGTCGAATTGGACGTGCGTTGCAGAGAGAAGCTTTGGTCCCATCGGCTGTGGGAACGGGATACATTTTGACGGTATCGAGGCTCATGATTCTTTGAAGGAGACCTAAAATCTTTGTGAAAGTTCATCGCAGACAACGTTGTCAAGGAGGAGGACGAAGCTTTGAGTTGATTGAAGGTGTGCAGCTTCTAAGGATTAGCCTTTTTTCCTTTTGGTTCGTTCAATTAGAGTTTGATTTGAATGTGTCCACGCTTTAACCCTAATATTTTTAATCTACAATAGTGATTCGCGGATATCTAAGTTGAGTGGCCTCTGACTTGACATCAACATTGCGGTAGAAGATGAGTATCATTGATAATAATGGCTTGAATATTGGCAGTGTTACTGAATGCAAATTCAAGGTTCAGGAAATGTTAGGTTAACACTGTATGTCTCGTGAAACTTCATTCACGTTCGACGTCTTATAGCTTATAAATTATGGATGGCGTTTGGAATACAGAAGAGGGACAGAATATCACAATGGGAGCTCCTACCAAAACAGCCTCTAAGATCCTCGTAGGGCGGCCAATACAGGATTCGGAACTTGAGAAGAGCAGGCAGAAAAGGGGAAACAAGTTGCGCCCGGTTCTCTTGGTATCTGAGATGCATGAAAAGGAAGAGCAACAGAGGACACGGGTTGCTCCGAAGGAAATTATCTTTGATCCTCCCCAGCAGAATCTTATGTTTGATTACCGGGTCCATCGTGGCTCCACGCGTGTTCCGAGCATGGTAAGACCATGTCTGAAATTTCCCTTGACTGAAGTGATTTGCTACTACTTATTATTAACGGATCTTGTAAGTGAAGGGATTAGCCTCACACGCATTTTTCTATATCTTCTCGAAGCTTTTTAGTTGGTAAGCCTGTGACTGCAAGTTATTGAAAATGTATTGCATGTTCTTGCAGCCTGAACCATTATCCCCTCCTCGTAAACCGAAGGTTAGGAATGATGTGTCCGACCTTCGTTCGAGGACACCAATACCTCAGCTCGCCGTGGTACCTCCATTACATTTCTCTCATCAAAAGGAAATTGATAATCACGTGTATTCTAATAGTACATGTGTCGAACAAACCTGGAATGTAGAATCTAGTTGAGAGGGACTATTACCGTCTGTTTTTTTATAGTTGGATCATTACTTGGAGCCACTGCCAAATCCTGATAGAGAGGAGCTGGATCCTTCTCCACCAAAACGTCCCATTCCTCCCTTTGCTCCGTGGCCTCCACTTCCAGAAAAAGAAACACAGGTACATTTTTCGATCCATCTTGACCTGCCCCTCATCATATCATATGGGTCGGAAAATGTATGCACCGAAGTTATGCATCCCTCAAGCTTACTTCAGATTATGAGCATCTTGAAGGGAATGGGCATACTGAAAGAGTCTAATTATCGCACTTGAAATTGAAATTCTTCTCCTCACTTTAAATAGTAGCTGCAGGGTTACTAACCCATTTACACAATAGCTATCGGTTTGAAGAATGGTGTGCATCATTTACAGATTTGGCCAGGAGATTTGTTCTGGTTCGATGACGATGTGGAGCCCATGCTCGAGCAGCTTGTCGGACGTTGTCTTGAGCAGGGTTACATGGAATGCCAAGAGAGCTTGACAATTGAAGCGCAACGAGCTCAGCAAGTTCGCCACTTTTCTCTTTTGCTCCTCCAACTGTCTAGCTTTTGGCCTGGTGGGCAGATGCTGTGCTGATTTTGGTCCCACTACTTCGGTGATTATCAGAGGAATATTATAGATTCAGCGGAAAGGGGTTCAGTTTTAACTAATTCTCCCTCTCTATGTACGCGTAGAAGTTTGGAAGGTTTGTTACACCATGATGGTTCCAGATAAAAAGCCCACACAAGTACTCTCTCTGTGACTAGGGCGTCCCTTTCGTATTTAGTGGATTCATCGTTCCCTTGACACTGCTCAGGAAAACTTTGAGCTCATCCAAGCGTGCGAGCTAGATGTTTGGCAACGCATGCGCCTGGCGGAGATTCGAGTGAACGAAGAAAGACTGAGACGTTTAGACCAAAAGAAAGTCGCCGACGTCTCCGAAGCATGCTTGAAAAGCAAGGTATGCGACCTCTCTAGCTGTCCCATTGCCTCTGGTTGATCAACTCAACTACACGGTTATCTCTCCCATCTTATTGAGCAGGAAGTTTTGAAGATTGAAACTCTCTGGGGATTGATGCAGGTGGAATTGCAGCAAATTGCTAACAGCTTCTTGAACACCCTCAAGGCTGAGGTCTTTCACAGTTTGGAAGCTAAGGGAATGTTCTTGGATCCGTGCGAGGAGGAGGTTAGTACATTTCTCTGCTCAGTCGATTGCACATTTGTGCAACTAATGTTTCGCCACTCAGGTATTAGATGACGGGTATTCCAATACACATGTTGCATCCGTCTGATTTCCTTTTGCTTGTGGCGCAGCTGAAAGCGCTTTACTTGCCCACATTGGTGAGGAAGATGGAGTTAGAATGCAATGAGATGATCAATTACCGCCTGACCACGCAGCTCTTGGTAAGACCCCTACTCGCACTAGAAACATTTGTGAGCAACGTGTGCGCAAATTTCTTTGCTACTCCTATGAAGTCCGTATTCCTCAATTGGCTGTGTGTCTGATGCAGGTGGACGAAACAGTGGAGTGTCCTATGTATATGGAGAGAGCAGAGGAAGGAATGGACCTCATCCTTGGAAGGTTACTTGGCATATTGGATTCATGGATTTGTTATGAGGACAACGTGGGGATTGAGCTGGAAGCAGCGGAGATTGCTTCTGAGAGAATCATGCAGGGTTCTGTCGGGGAAGTGTGCTTAGTAACTGCAACGTCCCATGCTGTTCTGAACGGTGCATTAGAGGCCACAGACGAAGCATTTGACACGGTTCACAGGTTTATGGAGAATGTTTTAGACCAAACCCGAGAAGACGAGCAGTTCGGATCTTTACTGAGCCAATTTCAAGATGACAGATAAAGAGTCTTAGCCGTCAAGTTTCCTTTGTTTCACGACCTAGATAATTTGACAATCGTGAAAGCTAGCCATGTAAAGTTGTACATGTGGTAAGTCATGCCTGCTTCTCAATGCCCAGTTACATAGTCAATTATTTAAGACAAGACTATGTGTTGATAAAGCCGCTCAATGTAACAACCTGAAAAAATTACTGATCTCCAAATATCATTGTAAAGAAGAAATTCATTATGGGTAGTGCACTTGACCCTACATAGTGCAAAATATGACTAAAATGTTCTACATTGATGTTATAAGTCGAAATTCAAAATCTGGACATTGTTGCGAAACCAGCCTCTTTCCCATCACAAACTCATGCGAGACTTCACTGCATTCAAGATGAAATCCTGACAGCATTCACTTCACAGCCCTATTACCAGACAGACTAAAAGTAGGTTTCATTCTGTTACGATTCTGAGACGTGACATCAGAATTTCTCAGAAAAACAGAAGCTAAATAGCCTCCATCAATGAACTATTTTTTCCAAAACTCAAACATCACATTTAAATTCAGTGTCAGATCCCAAAAACGCTCCCACGATTGGAATTGATTTGTCTGCGTAATATTGCTACGCCTTTAAAGACCAGTTCTAGTAAAACGTGTACCAACACTTTCCACTACTTTGATACTCCAGCCCATTGAAAAGAAAGTCAAGATTGTAGTAACTTGGCGTAGTGATACCTGTCAATCCCACTAACCTCGTAGATCCATAGTGAACATATTTCTGCGAGCTTAGGCAGATTGCTGTATTTCTGTGAGCATAGCTATAGCAAACTTTCAGAAACCCGAGCACTCAACTAGATTACAAATTCCGACCTCCCTTCAACATACGCAACTATTTATGGCATTCGAAGCTCAAGGTCCAAATCGTGTTATTATGTAGAGAGACAGCGAAGATAATAACAAGTCTTAACCAAAGTCAAAATTGTCAGAGACTCAAACATAGAAACACTAAAATTGTAGCAGAATCCTTGCTCAGCCAGTTTAAACCCTAGCCACATCTGAAGCTCCTCCAACAGCCGCAGGAGTCGTGACTAAAGAATTCCTACTCAGAAACTCCGAGTTCTGCTTCCACGCGTCCCCAGTCTCGTACACCTCCTTCTTCCAGATTGGCACGGAAGCCTTAAGCTCATCAATCAAGAACTCACACGCATGAAGTGATTCTTTCCGGTGAACAGACGACACTGCGACCAACACACTCTCCTCCCCGACACCCACGACGCCGATCCGGTGCACAATCGCTATCCTCGTGAGCGCCCAGCGCGACCGCGCTACCTTGCAAATCCTTCGTAGGTGCTCGAGCGCCATGGCATGGTAGGCCTCGTACCGAAGCTCCAGCACCCGCTTGTCCTCAAACATGTCCCGCGTTGTGCCCAGAAATGTGGCGATGGCGCCCGCTCCATCGTCACGCACCACATCCACATACTTCTTCAAGTCGATCACCTCCTCCACAATCTCCACCACATCGCCATCGTCCCCGACCATGTCCACTTCCCCCACCTCCCCAAAACTTCAACACCCAACTACCAAACACACCCACAAAAACCCACCACAACTGCAAATCCAATTCCAACCCACAAATCAAGCTTCGAATCCTTCCCTACCCAGCTTCGAATTCTTGCTACGTCCTCTACTGAATTCCGCAACCAAGTGCATATCATGCTCGGATTGTGGGGCTCACTCGCAAAACGACGTGATGGCTACAGAATCTCGGAAATTGGTTGCGAGATATGTAGCACCCAAGTCGCCACATTCGGACGTCGAGCTCCGATTTCTACTCTCCCCGACCAGGTGAGGCACCCACTTTCTAAATATTTATGAATTGTGTTTGTAAGTGTATTTAAGATTTCTCATGATTTAAGACTGTAATAATGTTTCATTGTGTTTCAACCGAATTCTTGTGTAGTATGGTAATTGCAACAATTAATACATTATAAAATTTACTAGAAATAAGATTTAAAAATTAGCCATGATGAAACATATACCTAGATTTTACTAAAGTGTGGATGAATGATGTTGATTCCAAAATTAAACACACTTCCTTGTATTTTAAAGAAAAAAACTCTAAAAAATACCATTTTAAACCGTTTTTAACTAATTTCAATAAAAAAAAATTATCATTTTCAGGGCAAATCAAGAAAATCTAAGAATAAGAATTATGGTTTTTGGCAAATTAGGCAAAATTCATACAAAATAACAACCCACCTATTAATTGAGAGATGAGGGAGTATGTCCAATTATTTAATCAATATACGAAATTTGAGTAGCTTGAATCAAATCCAACCACTTATAAAGTTTGTGTTCAAAAACATTGTTTAGTTAGTCTCTTCATTTTGTGAAGTTGTCTGTAAGTGAATCTTCAATCCAATTAACCTTCTTTCAATCTACAACCAATATACAAAATAGAATCACCAAAACAAAACAAATAAATAAGAGACTCAAGTAATTAAAACACATTAAGCAAGCATGTTTAAGTTAAAAAGTTGAAGAGATTGATATTAAAAAAAAAATTAAGAAATATATATATTTTTAATTCACACCTTATAAAAAAAATAACTTGCAAAACGACAAAGAGACAATTCACATTAGATTCTATTTTAATTAGTACAATATAATATAGAAGATTGATAAAGCAACTCAAATTTTTAGTAAAGCGATCCATCCATCATCACAATTTTACACATCAACAATACAAATCTTCTTTATCAAACCCTAACCTATATTCAAATAAACAGAATCATCATTTTGGATATAATTCCCAACAGTTCTCAACAATTCTCAATGGCTAGTAATAACGTCTTTCTATTGCTCTTCTCCTACTTGTCCTACAATTAAGGGTGTACTGAATTTATTAATTCATCTTATTCTAGTATATATTCTTTTTTAGATTGTGTATAATGGATAGAGGAGCAGAAATTGTATATTTTATAATTTTTTTGCATTTTGCAATAGAAAGTGAGGGATATATGTGTACACCACCAAAGGGATATTTTTAGAGTATAGAAAAAATGAAACATTGTTGTATTATGTATCTTCTTGCTTGAAAATGCACCGGGTATCTAGTTGTAGAAGGTAAGTAGAAATGCAACAACAATTCTACCAAGTCTAATAGAGTCTTAAATAAACTTCAAGTAATCCTTAATAATTCCAATCAGACTTTGATCAATTAAAATAAATTTAAAAGAAGTCACAAAAGAAACACAAAGAAGTCATAATTTAATCTCAAAGAAATATAATAAAGAAACTCTAAAAAAATATAAAAATAAAACCTTAAAGAAATAATAATAACTTCAAAAAAATTCTATAAATGAAAATTCTATAAAGAAGTGATTAAGAATCTTTTAAAATACTAAAAATAGAAAATTTAAATAAATCCTAAATAAATCCTAATCAATCCTAATTTAATTCTAATTGAAAGCCTAATGAACCTTAACCAAGCCAAGGTCAAATTCCAATCAAAATCCTAATTAAAATCTTAATAAATCTTAATTAAATCTTAGATCAAACCCAAATGAAATCCTAAATTGTAGAAAAATCCTAAATCCTAAGTAAATTCTAAATCTTAACCTTAAACCAAATCCTAATGAAATCCAAATCCTAAACAATTCTAAGAACATTCTAAGTAAATTTCAATCAATTACTATAGCTATTTGAAACCTCAATAAATATTAATTGAACCATAGATCTTGATTAAAATTTCACCCGAAATTTAATCAACAAAAAATTAACAAGAATACAAAATTTGAAAAGAATCTAATTACAAGAAAAGCTCCCAAAACGACTTACTAATTTCAAGAAAAGCTCCCAAAACCTCTTGGTCATTGGCTGCCTTCCTTCTCCAACTTGAATGCTCATCTTTCAATACCAATTTCTCTTTGTTGAACTATTTAATTGCTCCAAAAAATTGAGTTATGTATAGATATTCAAGTCTTAAGTGAATTTTTCAAATTTTGCTTCAATCCAATTGGCAGATATTGCTAAATCTCAAAATCACTCATTGATCCAAAATCTCAAATTTTTGAGACCATAATCCACAAAAATCCTCATATGTTTCAATCTAACTACTCGATTGACCTCAAATTTTGTACACACATTTATAACAAGTGTACCAACTAATTTTCCAAATTTTACTTGTATACATGTTGTAAAACTCAAGAAACCTTTAAATTTGTAATCATATTTTTATTTCTCAAAATCTAAATCTATTGAGAATATTATTAATTCTAAAAATCCTTCAAAATCTCAATATTGATCCAAATGATATAAAATCAATGACTAAAAATCTCTCCTTAAGTTTGCTCTCAAATTTCTTTCTTTGATTTACAAAAGAATATTGGAATTGCAATAGGTGCATAGTTTTGTGCCTTAGAATCTAATTTCAATTTAGATTGTCAACCAATCTTCTTTGGATATAAATTTTTAATAATTTGAAGTAAGTTTTGCTTTAATCTATTTTTAAATCTCTTCTAAATATGTTTATATCATTTTTTTATTTTTATTTATTTATTTATTTTTAATTTTTTTATTTCATTTACTTTGATTTGGCTCATTTATATCTCTACAAAGTAAATAGAAGTTCTTTCTACAAAAGGCAGCATTAAGACTAAACTTTTTACTACCTTTCTATAATTTATTATTATTTTTTTGTTACATCTTTTTACTAGACTCTTCTATAATAACATCTATTTTTTATTTTTTACTATATAATTGTATTATGACATGACAACATAATATTGATGAATTTACACATAATCAAGGCTATGTTGTATGCAAGCTACACATTGATAAAGATTACATTAATTACAAGTGTGACAAAGGAGAGGTTTATTAAGATCAATTTTTTCATTCTCACAAACAAAATAGTGTAAGTCCTCTAATACAATGTCCATTTGCATTGCATGCTTGTGATTAATATAATAGTACTCAATGGCATTTAATTATTTGAAATGCTTTTTGTAACCATGGAGCTACTTCTTTTCTTTTAGGCCATCTATTTTCTTGCCATTTGTAACTAGCCAAAAAAGAAGTAACTTCACGATTACTAGCCATTAAGTATCTCATCAAAAAATATTGTTGTTGCCTTATATGAAAGTGATACTAATAGCAAAGTCATTGCTTGAACTATTTAGAATGAGCAAAAAATATTATATCACATTGCACTTATTGGACAATCACCTATTATATATCTTGTGAAAATTTTACAAAGAGCTAATTGCTATTTTACTTATCATTGTGATGATGAGGATAAAGTTACTTATTTATTTTTAATATATCTTGATTGTATTCAACTTGCAAAAAGGTGCCATTTTTTCATTATTATAGATTTTACATACAAAACAAATAGATTTAAAATACTAATGTTATATATTATAGGAATGACAAGTTTCAATATTTCATTTACTATTTGTGTTGTTTTTTTTCTAAAAAAAAATAGAATCCTTCTTATGTTGGATATTTACTCAATTTTAAGAAGTATATAAAGAAATTTGATCCACTTTCATAGGAAATGATAGGAATTTAGCATTAATAAATGCCATTGAATTAATATTTCTCACTTCAAACATGTTACTTTGTATTTGATATATACAAAAAAATATGTTAGAAAATTACAAAAAATACTTTTCAAACAAAGTAGAGTTAGGATGATCTTCATTTCTTGTAGATTGGACCATTTTAATTAAAACATATTTTTTAGAGCTTTTTAATTTGGAGTGGAGTAATCTTTGTAAGAACTACATTCCTATTATTGCTCAAGAAAGTTTAAAACAAACATATATTGCTTATCAATATAATATTGGTTTCTTTACCAATGTTGTGAAACATGTATCTTTACAAGCTTTTAATCTTATCTTTGAGGAATATAAAAAAGTAAGAGTAAAAATTGATGAATATAATTTTTTTTATACAAGGAAAATGACAAACCCATTAGGTCTACTATATAAGCATCAAATAAGAATTTTATAGGAAAAAAGAGATATTTTATCAATTAATAATTTTCATCATTAATAATACTTTGTAAATACTCTTGTTAAGTTTATTCCAATACCACCTATAGTTCCATTTTCTTTTGAAAGTTTATATCCACTTTAAGCTACTGTTAGTCAAACTTTTGATGTTTTACTTCTTCACTAACAAGAAAATCTATATGAAAGATTGATTTAGCTTTAACAATAATTGTACAATTAAAAAAATCTATGAATGAGTTGCTCAAAGAAAAGACTAGTAGGAGCAAGAAATAGAACCAAAAGTAACATGCATGCAAAAACATCAACACAACAATCTGCATCAAAGTTTGAAACTATAGAAGCAAGAATAAGGAGATATTTTTGCAGAAATTGCAAGTCAATGGGATATAATATCCGTACATCCTACAAAGATAATTTTTTCCTCAAAATTATCTATGAATAATATACAAACAAAATAGAATTCAATAGTATGCTTTGAAAAAGTAATACATATAATCATTTAAAAAATTATAGATGGTTATTAATTCAAGTGATATTAATTATCAATTTATTTCATATTAAAAAAGTAAAAATGATATATTTAATGTCATTTTTTAATTAACATTTATTAACATTTCAAAATAATGTATTCATTCAATTTTTTTTTAAAGTAATAATCAAATTTTATTTAAGAAAAAAATTAATTTAAATGAATTTGGCTACATAAAAAGAACATTTGATTTGGATTGCAATTGTGATGAATGGAAGGAAATGGCCTATTTAAAAATACATATAAACAATACAAAGTACCTTCCAATGAACAACATATTGATATTATTCAATACAAAGT